CAGATTTTTGGAATTATTTCTGTGGCAGAGAACACCCGTGGTAGTCTCATGAGTGTGGAAATGCTGTGCCTCATGCCAGTGTGCAGTTTGGGGCTTGCTGGCTATGAACAGGGTAACCAGCCTCTGTGGCACTTCCAGTCTTGTTTTCCTCTGAAATTTGCTCCCTCAGGGCTTAGACTCGCCTTTGTGGGCCAGTAAACCTTTCATTAAAGGTACGTTACCAGCTGATTATTACTGTGGCTCCATGTTTTATTACAGCAGTGGCAAGAAAATAACTGCATTAAAAAAAATTCTTGAGTATTATGGTCTACATCCATTGGAAGTATGTGTACCTATGGAAAAAAAATCTACTTTTTCCATCTTAACACTGAAAACTTGTGGCAGAGGTTCTTTAATGAACAGCAGATTATTAAAACTTTGTTCTCCTGTAGACTGTCATTTTAATGATACATGGTATTTTAATGATGCATTAACTGACCAATAAATGTATGGGAGAACTACTTTTTTTTTTTTTGGTGCCATAATGGAGCTTAATAACTAGAGAAATGGGTTTTGTTTCTTTGATGCTCTTGAGAAGAAAGTTTACCTCAATTTTATTTTCTACTAAATACATAGATATATGAGGCATACTGCATGAAAATATTTATATTAAGTGTTCTAGTGGCTTTTGGTAATAGTAAACAAAAGCCATGAGACCTCATTGAGTGTTTAGGAAAAATTTCCAATTTCTCTTAAAGCTCCAGGCCTGAGGGAAGGTATGTATGAAGAGACCACTAACAATTGCTCCAAGTACATGTGGCAATAATTGCCCAGTGGAAGGACAAAGAAACCATCAGTAAGATTGTCCTTGAGGAACAGTGGTGGTCTGTGAGTCACCTGTCATCAGTTGTGTTGTAGAATTACAGAATGGTTTCAGTTGGAAGGGACCTTCAAAGATCATCTAGTCCAATCCCCCTGCTATGGTCGAGGACACCTTCAACTAGATCAGGTTGCTCAAAGCCCTGAACAACCTGACCTTGAACTCTTCCAGTGATGGGGCATCCACAGCTGAGATGGATGATCAGGAGTGTGGTAAAAGGCGACCGCAGGCAACTGTTTTTCACAGGTGGAGAGCATACAGACTTGCATTGCTTTCCTCTCAAAAAAGCTTCTCTTCAGATCATTCTTCTTAAATTTTTTTCCTCTATTACATAATCTTCTCAGAACCTTACTTCTGAGCTTACCAAAGTCCAGACTGTGTGCTTACCTGTGTTTCATATGCAGAAATAAATACCTTGTGGCGAATACTTTTAATGTTAAAAGGATTTTGACATAAACTCTGGAGCAGAGGCTTTACTCTCAACTATTGGATAGAGTTTGTTCCCAGTGTACTTAGCACGATGGTGTTAAATTGAGTGTGGGAGGAGAGGTTTTGATATTGGAAAGCAGACCACTGCCAAGGCAAGTATTGGGACAGTGATACTATGTCGGATGCGCATTGACTTCGGTTCTCCTTGTTCCTTAGAATTGCTACTAAAGAGTCGCTCGACTGATATTTTTTCATTTCTAGGTAGTGTGCTTTATGCAGAAGTCATATGTGTAATTATGGTCAAATAACTCAGGCATTCAGACGCAATTTCAGACATGCTTACCCATGTCCAGAGAGCAGTCATCTTTCACTTTGCTACCAGGCATGTCCAGCACAACTGTTTGGCTTAATGCATGGGGAGTGGCTTGGCTCCTCCCCAGTTGAGGGCCTTCAAGGTCTCACTTGTGGTTGTATTTCCAGAGGCAATGTCTTTTCAAAAGCCTGAAATTTCCTTGGTAGCCAACTGTGAGAAATAATTGTGACAAGTGAAGTAATGCCATTCTGGGTGCTGTCCTGCTGGCAAGCTAGTGGTGCATAGTCCTTCCCTAGAAGACGTGGCTGTGGAGCGGAGCTGGCGTGGAAGTACTCTGTAGATGCAGGACGTTGCAAGTCAGTATTTGAGAGGAAGGAAGCCTGTAAAGAATAGGTTTTCTTTGTGTTGGCTCATGGGTAGATCTGTTATACTCAGATTATTTGCTTTAACTGAGAATTTATTTGCTTTTTTAATGCATTTAACTTTGAACGATTTTTTTTAGGCTTGCTCTGTGTGTGTGTATTTACAGGTTTCGCTTTGCAACCTTGCTGGCCCAAGTATTGTTCTTTCCTCCTGGTAAGGTGCCACAGCACTTCTGCAAGCCAGACAGACCTGGGCTGGTCGGAGAGGTTCATCCACTGAAGCAGTGTTGTGCGTGTCTGCAGGGAGAAGCTGGGAGGCCACCTCCTGCCCTCGGCAGCCTTGCAGCACGTGCCAGCCGGAGGAGAGATGCGTAGGGTTTGCTGCAGGGTGAGAGCACCGGCTGGGCATGCGTGTCCAAAGTGGCCGCCTTTCTTAACATGGCAGGGTGCGCTTTCCTCGCCGGCTCCTAGCAAGGCTGCTTATCAGCCATCTACATCAGTAATTTGACCTGACGTGTCTTTTGCTGCTTGCTAGGGAGACTAGTTAAAAACAGAGAGAAAAGCAAACTCTAAAGAGCTTGGCAAAATGATGAATTATGAATGTTGGGTAAAAAATTATCAGTGTTGGCTTTTGGACTCTTGAAGCTCTGCCAGGCGTGCTGATGCTTTCAGCTTGGCTGCAATTCTCTGAACTTTATTGTGGATAGAAAACATGTGAGAAGTCTGTGAATGATGAGCTGAAGTTAAATGTAAAAATGTGTGAACTATGAATTTGTTTCTCTCTTTCTAGCTGTAGGCTAAATCTTTTGATGAGCTTAAATTAAATTCTTTAAGGATGCCTATTGAGTCAGTCCCTCTGTTGGCAAGGTACTCTGTGGGTTACTTGGAATTGTTGGCAGCCATCTGAAGCTTTTTTTCTTTCTCATTAAAATTAATGACAGATCTTCTGTGTGTTAAGACAGCTTTGAAGATTTAGTCAATGTTTCCGGAGGCAAGAGTAGTAGTTGTTTCTAAAGCTGGATGCATAAATGCAGTATATTCAGTGCTGCACTCGGGTTATGAAACATTTTGGTTTCTTTGGTTTTGCCGCCTTGGCTTCATGTTTCTTTACGCTTTTGGCTTATTTTCTTTCGTGAAACTTGTAATATGGTTTATAGAGAAGTACAGTGTTCACACCACCAGCTCATTGCAGTTACATTTGGAGAGGGATTTTTAAGCCAGGAGGCTAGTCATAGTAACATATTCATGTAGCGGTGGACAAGTGTTCAGCTTTGGGGTCTCTGGAAGGCAGCTGCAGTTCCTTTGCCCTCCCTTCTGCTACCAGCCCAAGCGGGCGGTGTGCTGGGACGCCAGGCGGGCGGTGGGCCCGATCCCTGTTCACGCGTCCATCTGTATGGCTCGGAGAACAATGCGCTTGCATACCTCCTCTGGTTTAGGCTGGCTCTGAGTGAGGATGATGCTTTTCCAATGCAGGAGGAGATGGTGTTGAACGTGGTAGGAAACTGGAAGGCGTGAGAGAAGTCCCTTTTTATTGCCAATAATCATGGGCCAAGTGTCACTAGAGAGACTGGTACTAGATAATAACTAAATCAGTGCTGGAGTGCGTTCTGGTTGACTATAGTCTTTAGTTATCTCAAGTAGAGTATTGTGGCATAATACACGCAAACCACACAAAGAAATGCTGTCTTGCACAGAAACTAGAAATCATTATTTTTCTTTAAGGGATTAAAATTTGATCTTAAAAAATATAGAGAACATGTATAATTGCTGAGTGGGTCTTTCCAGAGTTTGTGTCTAATCAGATTCTGTAGAACTACAGACACTCTTGGGTAATGCTAGTTGTGATTTAATCGCAAATCACAACAGAGGATTATATTTGTTGTCATGGTAGCTAGCAATAACGCTTCCATGAACACTGCAGCAACCAAAGAACACGAAGTGCACAAATCCACTTACAGCGTGCTGGGAAACACTTTACAAGTTCCCTGTGTTTTGGCAAGCTGTTTTCCTATATGCATCAGACTTCTGTACAAAATAGAAGTTTCCATGATTTGGTATGCTGCAACTTTAACATCAGCATCTTGCATGAATCTGAACTCCTGGGGCTGGAGCAGTGGCGTTGGTAAGCACCGGCAGATGCAGCTCTCGGCAGTGTCGGAAAACAAAACTGAGGAGCACGGTGCAAAACCTCTGACAAATTGTAGCTGTGGAAGTGCAGTCTGAATTTTTAACTACAGGTTGATGCAGTTGTGAAAATCTCAGAGGCAGCGGTTTGAGAGCCTCCAACAAAAGGCTCTGCGTATCACTGCTGGTCCAGCCAGGGGTTTTCAAAGCCAGCACCCTTGTGATGCATTTCCATGTATGACTTCTGCTTTTACGTGGCAGGAGACATGTCGCGCTTGGGGGCTGTTTTATATGTGCTTCCTAGAACAGCACAAAGCATCCCCTGCCAAATAGGCGTCAGGAAATAGATTGTATCTGTAAGTATGGAAGGGTGCAAGGTGCAGGCAGCTGTTGGGTTACTATACTCGCTGGTGGTCTAAAAGTCCGTACGGGAGCTTTGATAGCGAGTATGCATGGAGATTAGAAAGTTTGACATGAGGGTGTTCCAGGTTTGGCTGCTTTCAGTTAATCTCTGTTAGGGAAACAATATTCTCCAGTGCTGGGACGCAGCACCACTGTAGTTAGTGGCTTGTTGGATCAAGTGTGGGTTGCACCCTGGGGTGGGGACAGGGACGAGGAGGCAGAGGTCCTGGGGGCAAGGTGCGCTGCTGGGCAGGAGGAGAAGAAAAGGTGGCAGCAAAGCTGAAGGAAGAAGGGGTGGAACCCCCTATGCTGTGCCAGGAGCTGGAGCGCGGTAACGGCAGGACTGATGCTGTCTGTAACAACTGTGGTCTTTCCGCAGTGTAAATGAGGCTCTGTCCTGCTGGTCTTAAATAGCCCCAACCAAGTGATGGGTGTAAATGGACACCGTCTTTGTAGAATGACTCTTGTTTGGTTTTTGTCAGCAGCAGAGGCTGTAACTCATGGGATGAGAGAGAGGTGTTTGTGGTTAATAGCTTGCATGGGGTTTTAAATTTTTTTGTCTGAAAAATAATGTGGAGGCAAATACAAATTCGGGAATCTTTTTGCGAAATATCCACAATTAGAAATTGAGGGAAAAAAATTTCAGGGACGATTTAAAGGAATTTCAATTCTTCCTTCAAGATGAAATAGGCACGCCGCCATCTTTGGCGGTATTGTTTACTGCATTCATAGTTAACGATGGTTTTTAGGCTTCTGTAAAGTTCAGTCTGACATCTTTGGTTTTTTTTCACTAGATGCTTAAAATTCTGTGCCGATGTATTTGTGGGTGAACAAAATCTTACCATTTAATTGTTTATTTTGTTTTTATTATTTATAAGGTGGAATATATGTTAGTAAAATTTGACCACGAGAATAAGAAAGTGCGCTTGGTGCTCTGCGGTGAAGAAGTTCTTCAGACACTGCAAGACAAGGGGGAGAAGGTAAACCCCAAGTGAGTAGCTGTTTCCTCTTTGTTTTGTTTTTTTTTTTCTCCTCCTGTTGTGATACTGTACAGAATTTTGTAGACCTGGCTTAACTTTCAAGTCTGCTGTAGGTAAAACTGTAAGCCACAGATACCAATATTTTCAGATAAAGCTGAGGTGCGGGAAGTGAAAGATTTTGAGCACGCTTGCAGGCAGTCCGTGCACCTTTTGTGTTATGACTTGAAGAAAAGGAGGATGTAACAGTGAGCCCGCGGAAGTCGCAGTTTGGGTATTTGTTGTGTCTTGCTTTGGTTTTGTGTCTGTGTGTACACGGTAATCACGTACTACGCCTCCCCTGCCCCGTAAAGCGTATGTGTGCATGCACTTGCCCGCGTATCCCTGGCTGCAGGAGCAAGTGAGGGCTGTATAGGGGAGCCTGTTGTCTGCAGGAGCGCTCTCCCATTTTTGGCAGAATTCGGAAGATAGGTGTAAGGACAGCAGGGCAGTTCTTCCCCATCCTCTCCCATGGAGTTTTCAGGAATAATTGGATCATATCCCTACTTCAACTAGCCAGAGAAGTGTGAATTGCCTGTTAATTGATGGCAGCAGGGAAGGTATTGGGAAGGTATTACTTTTCAGGGGTGACTAGGTGCACTCAAACTTCTATTCCTTTCTTAACCTGATAAATTCCTGAAACAGGACCAGGTATTCCCAGGCAGTAGAAAGAAGAAATTGAGCATAACTTTCGCCTCTTGTACTGTGGAAGCAGTTGAATGTTCTGTATTTTCCAGTTTCAGTTAAAACCCCAAGAAACAAAGCTTGAAACAGATAGGCAAATCCTACTTACGGCACTATGCAGCAACGCTTCCTACTGCCAAACCATGCTTTAATTTCTTTTCACTGCCTCCCAGCCCTGAGGTGCATTGGTAGGTACATTGTGTTACTCTACCAAATAATCAACTTAAGGAGATTTTTCTTGCAAGTTGCGTTCATTTCAGAAATTGTCGCAAATAATCCATCTTTTTTGAAGTTGTAGAAATATTTAAACGAGGCTATTCTTTTATTATAGCCACCCAACACTCTGGCGACCAGAATATGGAAGCTATATGATTGAAGGGACGCCTGGGCAGCCGTATGGGGGAACCATGTCTGAATTCAACACTGTGCAAGATAACATGAGGAAAAGACGGCAAGAGGCCGCTTCTGTGCTCAAAGAAAATGAGGCTGTTTGCACTGTGACATCATTTCCAAGGTGAGATGGTTGCTGAACTGTAATGCTCTGTTCACTATTCTCCTTATATGCTTTTTCTCCTTATTGCATATAGCTAAACTGTACAATGAAATCGAGCAAAATACGCTTCAGTTAAAGTACTTTGACTTAATATTCTGGTTGCATTTCCTAAAATTTTTATTGCAGTGAGACAAATAAGCATATTCTGTATTTTTAGGTTACTTCTAATCTGTGATGATTTTGTATTAGGAGAGAATACTTGAATGCTCGTAATATAAAGTATTGTAGGTAGAGTAGTCTGCCATCTTGAATTGATATGACAAAGCATATATAAAAGGTTTCTCTTTACCTATTTTGCAACCTTTGATCTTTATAAATAGCAGTTTTGTAAAACATGTCTAACCTGATCTATTCTTTTAACACTACTTTTTCACTAAAGCATGCACAGACTTCTTTTGGTGGCTTGTAGCACACAGTAGAACAGGAATGTGATTCTCCTTAGAAAATGAAGACTTAAAACTTCTACAGTACTGTACTTACTGAGTCTAGACAGGAGTGCACCTCTCCTGGGTTTATAACACCCTTACAAAGGGCAGATTTCCTCCTTTTTATTGTTGTAAAGAGACTCGAAGAAATGGAATTCAGGATGTACTTCATTACCTAGGAGAAACCGTGCTTTGTGACCTTCCTTTCAAACATAATCCTATGCAGGGATTTATTATGCTCATTCTAACTAGCCTGGTCAGTCAAATGAATGAAGATAGTTATTTTTAAAATAGTAAGAAAATTGCTTTGCAGTAGAAGAGAAGCAGCAGGCTTCGCTGGCTGGTTTCTTGTGTAGTACAGAATGCAATGGCCCTAAATTCTTGCTGAGAGCAGGAAGGGTACAAAATGTGACTTAGCAGCAAAGTTCAGGTACCAAAATGCCTGCGTTATGCCCCGTGAATGGTATTTTAAGAACACACTGTTGAGAAAATATGCTTCCTTTTTATGGGAGCCATACTGGATATCTTGAAAGTAATAAGAGCTTATTTGAAGTCCAATGGTTAAGTAGCTCTCAGTGTGTTACAGAATTGGTTGTTGGGGGTTTTTTTGCCCTGCAACCTTACACATAGATTATGTCATTTAATAAATTTTGTATACAAACATTTCAGACCTAGTTGTGCAAGGAATAAAGGGAGAGGAGTTCTTCATCACTTTGTAGATACAGAGAAATACTTCTTACATCACTGTAGGAGCAATATATTGGACTTCAGTGAAAGCCAGTAAATATTAAAATGTAGTTTGTTTATTACTTATGGATGAACCCAAACATAATTTCATCCTTCAGAGGCTGCTTTCCCTAGGCTGTTTAGTTTCTTATTTCTGCCTTTTGCTATCTTGCCATTCAAGTCCCTGTTGGTTTGACTGGAGTCTTGCTAATGTATATTTCTGAGGTTTTGTGGGTTTGGGGTTTTTTGCTACATTCTCTCTACAATAGCATGTACATATGCTTGTGTGTGTGCATATGCATGTGTGTATAATAAAAAATACGTGCATCTGAAAAGACAAAAAAAGTGCTGACAGAAGAAAGATAAAGAAGTATGCTTATTCAAATTAAAATAGCTCAGTTAAAAATTAACAAACTTGAAAATGCTTAAATATTTAAAAATACTACCTTAGAAGCTAAATGAGTATCCCTAGTTCTTAAATTTATGAGCCCTTGCTACTGGACCAGAAAGCTGTTTTCCTTCTTGAGGCCTGGAGTGATGCAGTTTACAGTGTTGCACTTATGTAAGTGACTGACTTACACATTCTCCTGGAGAAGCTGGCTGCTCATGGCTTGGATAAGTGCACTCTGCGCTGGGTTAAAAACTGGCTGGACGGTCAAGCCCAGAGAGTGGTGGTGAATGGAGTCAAATCCAGTTGGCAGCCGGTCACAAGTGGTATTCCCCAGGGCTCAGTGCTGGGGCCGGTCCTGTTCAATATCTGTATTGATGATCTGGATGAGGGGATTGAGTGCACCCTCAGTAAGTTTGCAGATGACACCAAGTTGGGTGGAAGTGTCAATCTGCTGGAGGGTGGGAAGGCCCTACAGAGGGACCTGGACAGGCTGGATCGTTGGGCCGGGGCCAACTGCATGAGATTCAACAAGGTTAAGTGCTGGGTCCTGCACTTGGGTCACAACAACCCCATGCAACACTACAGGCTTGGGGAAGAGTGGCTGGGGAGCTGCCTGGTGAAAAAGGACCTGGGGGTGTTGGTTGACAGCTGCCTGAACATGAGCCAGCAGTGTGCCCAGGTGGCCAAGAAGGCATCCTGGCT